AGGATTAAAATAAATATAAAACCATATTTCTAGCATTCGTGGTTGATGAATTATGAGTTTTAAAATTAATTAAATTTGTATATAATAAATTAACCAATTAAATTAATGATCTCAATAGATCCAATGTCTCCCATAGATCCATTAGACTTTTTCAATAAACTAATATCCATTGGATCTATTGGCTATTGGTCCATTGAATCCATTGGCCATTTGGCCAACCCTGCCTTGATGTATTCCTAAAAAAGTAAAGAAAAAATAAAAAAACAGTTAGAAAACCCATTAAAACCACCTTTGAATGGCTTACTTGATGTATTCCTAAAAAAAGTAAAGAAAAAATAAAGAAAACAGTTAAAAAACCCACTAAAAACCACTTATGGAAAGTAAAGAAAAAAATAAAGAAAAAAGGTTAAAAACTATCTAAAAGTACTCTCCGAAAGGCTTACCTTAGCTTTGAAAAGATAATTTTCCTAAAAATTAAATAAAAACAAAGAAAAAGGATTAAAAACTATCTAAAAGTTACTTCTGATTTGCTTACCTTAATTTCCAAAATAAGAATTTCCTAAAAAACAAGAAAAAAGAAAAGAAAATGCCACAAAGATCACTTTTGATTTGCTTATCTTAATTCCAAAATAAGAATTTTCTAAAAAAAAAAAAAAAGAAAAAAGAAAGGTAAAGGTTAAATTTCAATCCAAAAATCGCTTTATTAGGAAAAATAAAGAAAGAAATAAATTTTTTCAGATTATTTTGAACGTTTATATTGTAAATTAAACTAAAATTTCAATTAATCTGAAATTTAGATATTATATATACTATTTATTATAAATGTTCTAAACAGATGATTTTGCATTATCCGATTGCAAAATTAATGATAGTTTAATCATTCCATATAAACAATAACAAAATCGTTCTAAAGTAACGATATTTTGATTATTCCTAAGAATGATATAGGAAATCGTTCCAAAAAAGCGATAAAAAAATCATCATTCTTTCAGAACAATGATGAATCATTCTAAAAGAACGATAAAAAACTTGTTCTTTCAGAATGATGATATATTGTTCTGAAAAAATGATAAAAAAAATATCATTCTTTCAGAACAATGATGTATTGTTCTAAAAGAACGATAAAAAAAATCATTATTCTTTCAGATTGATGATGTATATTTCTAAAAGAACGATAAAAGAACAATAAAATAATCATCATTCTTTAAGAATGATGAAATATCATTTCTTAAAAATAATGAAATAACATCGTTTTTTTAGAACGATAATTGAATCGTTTCTTTTGAGACAATTTCTATCATCTCTTTGAGAACTATTATATTGTTCCTTTAGGAACAATTTCTATCATCTCTTTAGGAATGATTGTATCGTTTCTTTAGGGATGATTTCTATCATCTCTTTGGAAATGATTATTCGTTCTTTTAGAGACGATTTCTATCATCTCTTTAGGACGATTACTTTTAGAATATTTTTATAATTTTGCAAAATTGGCTCAATAGATTTTGACCAGTGAGATACAGTTGATTTGTTACCAAATTTTAAGTCTAACTGAAATTTTGCTGAATATTATAACTGAAAGATTCTAATGCTGAAATAATGCTAAATTATGTGTGATATAATAAATTACTATCGATTCTTGTAACTTAAGCCAAATTTTTGCTGAATTACATGACTGAATTAGCTGAATGTTAACTGAATAATATTAGTGCTGAAAGAAATGATTTTAACTTATATTAAGCTTGATTGGAAATTTTGTATTATTAAATAAAATTAATATTGTATTTGTATTATGTTTGTACTAATTTTTATATTAATTATTAAATATACTAATTATACTAATAGTCTATATTAATCATTGTACTAGTATTGTATTTCCTAAACTACTTTAAGAATATATATATTCTATAATTATTTTTATAATATATTATATAAATATATATTTTGAAATCATATCTAAAAAATAATATATTAGGAATTTAATAATTTAGTTATTAATATCAGATAATTTAATCTTAGTATTAAAAATAAAATAATTTTAAGAAATAGCATTATATTTTATAATAAATATAAAATTAGAATTTTAAAAATATTTGGATAAAGTTGCTTGCATTAAAAATGATAAATAAAGTGATTCTTTTAGAAATAATAAAGATTTTAAAACAAAGTTTATTTTGAAAGCCATAAACTTTGGATTTTGAAGAAATAAATAATATTGATTTAACAATTTCTCATTTATTAATTTATTTATTTTATTTATTTATTATAAATATTATAATATTGATTCATATAAACAACAAGAAATTAATAAATAATAGTAATTGTAATAATCATTAATAAACATAAGTATAAATTATAAATTAAAAATATTTATTGCATTTATTTGATTTTTTTACTACTTGCTCAGTTTATCCAATTTTTATCATTATTTAAACATAATTGCCTGATATTGATTAATTGCAAATTCTTAAAATCAAACACTTGCATTATAACATAATATTATCACAAGAATGAATAAAATTAAAATGGGTATATAGTAATAATACCTGTATAGTACAGTACGGTTTTGAATTATGTATAGTATGGGTTTATTTATACACATATAATATTAGAAAGGATATTACAGAAATGTATAGGATGGTTTTCTGTGTATTCTATGTATGGAACGTATGGTTTTTTCGAATTTTAAGCATTCTATGTTTGCTCATATGCTTTATTTATTATAATCGTAAATTACAATACAATCTAAATTACAATTAATTTTATCAAAAAAAAATCAAAAAAAAATGTCTAATAAAATTCGTCGTTCATCTAAAAAGGAAATTCCTCATAGAAAAAAATTATATTGCAATTTAAATTTTTAATTTAAATATTACATGTATGGTGTTTGTTATATACCCGTTTCTAATGATTTCTTAACAATAACAAATTGCGTCATGTATGTCCAATTTTCGTGTAACAATTATAACATTCTATAGAATCAAACAAATGTTCTGGAATATTATCGTCTTTCAAGTATGTCCGGTGATCAATTATTAGTTTCATTCAAAGTCAAAATTTCAAGTAATGCGAAACCAATCGAATATATTTTATTCATTTCAGTTCTATAAATATTATTTCGAAAAATATACTTTGGAATAAAGATTAAATATTTCGGAATCTATAAATTTCATTTAATTAAAAAAAAATTTAAATTCATTTGCGTTCTATTTTTTGAGAGTGTATTTACTTAATTATATCTAACTACGTGAAAAATATCTAACGCGTTATTTAGGTTTTCCAAAATTAACCTTTTCCCAAAATAAAAACGTACCGGACCTCCTAGACCATTATTGAAATATGAAAATTCTCGTACCATACCTGGGTAATGATAATAAAAACAATTAGTGGATTAATTGCCTCGTAAGAACTGGACAAAAACTTTTGAAAGCAGAAAAAATCAAATCGAAAATATTGTATTTACATATTGCAGAAACACGTTACTACACAAATAATTATAATGTAGCCATCTCTTGTTAAAAGATGATTTTGTGATATGTAAAAAGCGGTATATTCCAGGTATTAAAAAACGATGAAACTCAAAGATAGAACGATATAAGAAGCAAGAATTCACTTTATATAATATAGATTTTCTTTTGAACTGTTCAATAAACGTTAACCATGTAAATCGTTGATCAAAGGCTTTTCAAGACAATTAGTTTTCACAATCTAATATTGAAGGTTATTATAAAATTGGTTCAACTTTGGGCTAATATACAATTTCTTTGATCGGAAGATTAAATTTTGAGGAATTAACAGAAAAAATATATTGTGTGCTAATAGAAATATTACAATGCTCATTAATTTTGATTTACGTGAATTTGTGTGCTTACTACAAAGAGTGGCGTCGATGACAAATATAACTATATATTATGTGGCGTAAACCAGGGTCTCAAATTCCTTGTCGATTGTGTAACAGAACCAATGAAAAACATTAAAAGCAAATGACTTAGGAAATCTATTTTGAACTCGGAAGTCACGAACATAATTTCCGTTAATTAAAGCATAAAAAAAGGTGGTGATTTTTTTTTTTAAAAAAAAATTTTAATTTACAAACTTAAGTATAATAAAAAACTAATATTAAGCATGGGAAAAGCTGATAAGATATTGGAAGAAACAGTAAATTCAACGAGCGAGACTATTCAAGTCATACAAGACCTCAATGAAGTTATAAACTCAGGAGAGGTCCCGTCGTGTCCGACTTCTGTTGGAGAACATTTCAAATTAGCTTTAGGAGCCGTAGGTACTTTAGGAGAGGCTGTTGGGCCCTTTCTTCCTTTGATAGCGGCAGTTTCTACACTTACAGCTCAAATTGTAAAAGCTTACGAAAATGCTCAGTATAATAAGAAATCATGTGCAGCTTTGATCCAAAGGGTACAAGCAGCCGAAGTAGCCGTTCAAGCATTAAATCGTCGTAAACAGGAAAATGAGAAAAATTTTCGTAATCAAAAGTATTATTTCGCTTTTGAAAGATTTGTCGCTATTTTAAGAGATATTAAGGGTTATATTCAAGATGTAACTATTTTGTCCGGTTACAGAAAATTTATTTCAAGTGGTGCGATTAAAGAAAGGTTTCAACAATTGGTTAAAGAATTTGACACTATCGTTAGTGATTTACAATTGGCAATGGTAATTGCTAATGCGGAGGAAAGAAAGAAAGATGCTGATATTTTACAAGAAGATATTGAAGAAATGGCAAAATTTTTGCAAAAAATTGAAGGTGGTGTGACCACAATAGATAAAAAAATTAGTAATGTTCTCGAGCATATCTTAACTTTAAAAGGAAAGTCATTCGAAAAAGATTTTAATCCTACTATAAAAAGCATTCAACCAAATGAATTAATGGATCCGCCTAATAATCAAACAACTTCTACACGTAATAAGCAAGTAAAGATACAAAAAAAACGTTATAGGGGTTTAGATGTGGCATGTAAAGTTATCACTTTCTCTATCGAAGAAAATAATAAATCCGAGACAAATAAATTAGAAACAAATAGAATTCACGCAGAATTAGCAATCTTAAGTAATTTAGGAAAATGTGATTATATTATTAACTTTTATGGATTAAGTCAAATGAACGGAAATACTTTGGGTGTTTTTGGATGGGCTGAGAAAGGAAATTTGAAAAAACTTTATGAGAAATATGATATTGAATGGCCTCGAAAATTAAAAATTGCACTAAATATTTGTCGTGGAATTACTTTTCTTCATGGTTGGTAAGTACAAAGGATTATTGAATCAATATTTATCATAATTATTGCATCTAATCACTGAATTTGTTTTTTTTTCATAGTCAAATTTTGCATCATGACATTAGGTAGGCCTTTTCACAATAAATGCTATACTTAAGAATTTGAAATTTATTTTGTACATTGCTAATTCAAATTAATTTCCTTAACATTAGGTGTGAAAACATATTAATAACCGACATTTCAGAACCGAAAATTTCGAATTTCAAATATAGTCGTGCTTTACAAGATGATACCACTAACATTGGAAATATTACACAAATCGTTCGTTGGTTAGCTCCCGAGAAAATGAATTCAAAGAAATTAAATCAGCACATTAGTGCAGCTAACAACCCACAATCACAACCATCTAAGAAAGAAGAGGCCAAAAAAGATAAAAACAAAGATGATGATTATGTTCCCTATACCATTCAATGTGAAATATTTAGGTAAATTTTATTATTCTAGAAAATTGATTTTTTTTATATTAAGCTAATGGAAATGTTCTTTTCTAAGCTTTGGAATGTTACTTTGGGAATTGGCCTTCCAGAAATTTCCATATAAAGATTGGGAGATTTCTCATATTCAGGAACACGTATTAAAAGGCGGAAGAGAAACCTTAAATTTTCCTTTAGGTCAATATGGTGTTGAAAGGAAATTTGGCAACATTATCAAAGCTGGTATGATAGAATATATTTTTTAAAAAAATAATTAATAATAAAAATAATAATGAGTTTATAAAATTTACATTCTTTAGCTTGGCAACAAGATCCTTCTCTTCGTCCAGAATTAAATTATTTATTCAACGATCTCGAACAATTAAGTGCTCCTTGGACTTTACAATCACCAGGATTGATCGCAAAAAAAACTATTGATGAAGACATAAACCCTATTGAAACACCGCATCGAAGATCATCATCATATGAAAGTTTTGATTTGCCAAGTACACCAGATTTTGATTTAGATCAAATTACAGTTATGCCAATGATGAAACTTGAAGATGGAATAACAGCTCATAAACAAGGAGATCGGAAAAAAGCTTATGAATGTTTTTTAAATCATTCTGACATAGGTAACAAAGTAGCAAAATATTGGTTAGGCTATTATTATTGGGAAGGTTATGTCGTTGAGAAGTCGCCGAAAAAAGGAGCCGAATTATTTAAAGAAGCCGCTGATAAAGGGGTTCCTGATGCTCAGTTAAGATATGCGTTTGCGTTATCGGATAAGAACAGTCCACTTAAGTTTGATTTAGATGAATTTGTAAAATATTTATCCATGGCTGCTGATAATGGAAATACTGCTGCTCAATTTAACTTGGGTGATTTGTATTATAATGGTAAATTAGGTGTACCAAAAGAACCACAAAAAGGTTTGAGTTATTTAAAATTGGCTGCTATTAAAGGTCAGCCAAAAGCTCGTGCTATGTTGGATAAATTAGAGATTAATTATTATGTTCAAGATGATGAAGAATCCGATTTTAAAGAATTTAAATCGTAAGTTTTTAAAAAAATATATTTAATTTCTTTTTATTCTATGATAGATAGATTAGGTATTATTATTATGTTCCATAATGAGTTCTTTTAAAAAATATTTATTTATTTTGACAAAAAAAGTGTTCGCGACATGTGATATTTATCATTTCCGTCCTACTGTACTTTATTTTATATAATTAATATAAATATAAAAATAAATAATAAATTCAATCATAAATATTAATTTTATGTTCTTCAAGATCTTCAATCAAATCCCATGCTTCATTGATTCTGGAGCGCGGCTAATCTTAGATATTTAATACCTTCATCTATATATTTTTTCAATTCCAAATTTACCACGAATATAAAATTCAGCTAAATGAAATTGTGCGTCTATATGTTTACGATCCTTAGGTATTTTTCATAATCTTGCATTTTAAAATCGTTTCCATGATGTTGTAAAATACACATTGCATATTGAAATGAAGCTTCGGTATCAGCTGCTTCTTTATATAACTTAATTGTTTCATCTACATCCTTTGATACGTTTATTCCATTATAAAGATAATGAGCCTTCCAAAATTGCTTTTGGGTTATCAATATCGGATTGATTTACAAAACAATCCCATGCAATTTCATATTTCTCTTCATTACGTGCTTTTATTCCTTCTTCAAGGGGACGAAAAGGTTTATATATGGGATCCTCTTCATCATCAGAATCAGACCAATCACTATCATTAAACGCAAACGTAGGACAGGTTACTCTCGGGATATCTTGAGATAAATTGTTGTTTCGTCCTAACAAAAACCCTGATAGGGACGATGATTTTCTGCGGGGATAAAACCAAATTCTTGTGTGTGGTTAAACAAAATTCTTTGATGTGATGTGATACCGATTTCGTACATTCTGTGTAATTAATTCTGTAGTTAAAATCAATTTTATTTTTATGTATTTTAATATTTTGCTTTTAAAATCAATTGCTTTAATGATTCGCACGAAAGATTTTGACGATCAACTATTTAAAAGGGTATTTATTATACATAGAGAAACTACGCTCTACACTGCAACTAGATGTAAGTTATTCAAGACAACCTACAATAAATAGAAATACTGGCTTATTTTGCTGCTGAAAAAAATCCACAAATTCTTGTAATAAATTGATATAAATTGTAATTATTTTTTCTTTTTTGTTGACAGAAATTGATAATAGCTTCGAACAGATAAATTGGATCAGGTAATTAACTTAACCTGATCTGATAAGGTCAGATCAGACATAAAATTGACCTGAATTAAATATACATTTGATCTATACATAGGTTTGAATGATACTAAAATATATGGTCGTTTAATATAATTCTGTCATAATTAAAGATGCCTCCCTAAACTCTTTTTAGAAATTTGAGTTTCGAGATATTTGAGATTAAACTATTTATTTATAATAAATATTTTTACCTAACTTTTCTAAACTTAACTAAGTTTAGATTTATAAAAAAATCATTTTAAGGTTTTAAAAAAGTTTCTAAAATTTTAAGCTACATATTAAAATAGGTTTCAAATAGCATCATTAGTCATAATGCTAAAATAAATTATACTAATATCATAATATTGAATTATTATCCCTTTAATGGTAAAAAATTGCAGACAAATTTGCCTGCAATTTTAAACAATTTTAATTAATTTTTAACATAAATTTTTATTATTAAACCTATCGATTTTTTT